CCACCACAAGTCAGAGGTAAGTAGCCTCCCAGGACACGGTCCAGGATGGAGAGTACAGCTGAGGGCAAAGGAATTATACATACAGCCTCTGTGAGTTGACCATCAAAGGGACTGTAACAAACTGGTCAGCATACGGAAGTGATCAACATGAGGAACTAGGCCTACTGTACAGATATGTACATGTGGTGCTTTTTCAGTCCATGAAAATGAGGTCAACTTAAGGTAGTAGTCAATGGAGGGAGCTGGTCAACTAATGGAGGTTCTACCCCACTCAGCACAGCACCCAGGGCAGTTCCTACTTCCACGATTGTTGCAGTGATAGGAGGAGGCCCTGTAGGTAAAATGTTAACACAGTGCTGATGTGTCCAGTAAATACCACGGCATGCCTGTGCTTAGGAAAGACTTTGCCTGAAGTATCATAGGTTAGCCTCAGCTGAGGCTGGAGGCTTACAAAGGTCCCAGGGAGGGGTGATCTCCACCTACATTCCAGCACCTCCCTGGGTGGTCTGGCTGCCTGGCTAAGGCTGGCTTGGAGGTCAGAACAACCAGAGAACATCCCTGGCTCTCCCAGCACAGACTGAATGCTTAGCATGGACTGCACTTCCAGTCCTGGGCCTGCTTCTCCAGGCTGTGGGCCAGGGCCATGGAGGAGGGACAGTCCAGCCCTCTCAGTCCAGTCCATCTCATTTCACCTTTGGCCCGGAGTGTTCTGAGCAGTGCAGCTCACTGATCTCATGCAGCCTGTACTGGGCTACTGTTTACACTGAGTCCCCAGGGCAGGCACATCGCTATCACCACAAGGTGGCCCTCACATCCCTTTGGCCTTCTCAGGGTTCACACCTCTACCTCCTCCATCCCCATGTCATGAGGTGCACTGCAAGCTTCCTTTGATCATGCATAGGACAGACTGAGATGTCATATATGGTCTTCAAGCCCAACCACTTGCCAGCCCAAGGTAAACAGATTATTTTGTATTCATTCACCCTGGTCTAAGCTCCCATTCAGGGGTGGACTGAATGTTTATGTCCCCCCACAATTCATACGTTGAAATGCTACCTCTCTATGTGATGGTATTAGGAATTGGAAGCTTCAGAAGGTGATTAGGTCATGAGGGTGGAGCTCTCCTGAATCAGATTAGTGACCTTACAAGAAGAGACAGGAGAGAAATGATCTTTCTCTTTCCACCTTTTTTTTTGAGATAGGGTCTTACTCTGTTGCCCTGGGTATCTCATAGCAACCTCACTCTTGAGCTTCAGAGAGTCTCTTGACTCAGCCTCCTGAGTAGCTGGGACTACAAGCACCTACCTTGGAGCCTGGCTATTTTTTTCTATTTTTAATAGTGACAGGGTCTTGCATTTGCTCTTGCTCAGGCTACTCTTGAACTCCTGAGCTCAAGCAATCCACCCATTTCAGTCTCCCAGACTCTTTCCTCTATTTGAGAACACAAGGGTATAAACAAGGGCCCTCACCAAGAACTCAGCCCTGCTGGTAACCTAATCTCAGATTTCTAGCCTCCAGAACTATGAAAAATAATGTTTCTTGTTTAAGCCACTCAGTCTTACAGCAGCCCAAACGGATGCCCTATCAGGTCCCACAGGATGACAGCCCCCATCTCTCTGCCACTTGCCCCTGGCTCTGGGAAGCCGGCTCTGAAGAGGCTGGGGGGTGCACAGGGGCTACTGGGGAGTAACTCCTATAAATGGAAATGGTGGGGAGCAGAACTGAGAGGCAGAACGTGTCGTGGGGAGCTCTGAAGCAAAGATTATCCATGGGAGGCATCCTGCACTGAGCAGAACGGTAAGGCCTGACCAATCCTTGGCTTCATCGCTGTCTAGGGCCACCCCAGGAAGCACCTGTTACACCTGAAGTGCTCACAGGTGAGGCTCTCCGCTGACCAGGCTCCACACACAGGGCAGGTGTCCTACACTGAAGGGGCCATCTGAGTCTGCCACCTACCTCCGTAGGCTGCTCCCAGCACAGTAGGCAGGGGACCCTGTCAAAGTCTAAATCAGTCATGTCACTCCTCTGCCCAAAACCTCCAAAGGCATCTTACCAAGGCCTTCGAGGGCCCCCAAGATCTGCCCTACCCCACGCCTCACCTGCTGCCTTTCTAACCTCTCCTCTCCTCCTTACTCACCTGCTCCAGCCCCACTGACCAGGCACACTCCTGCCACAGGACTGCAGCACAGCTCGGCTGCAGTGAGGATTTCTTTTCTTCTATTTGAAGCTGAAACTTACCAGCCCCTGCACTCTCAACTCCCCCTGCTCTATTTTCCCCACACTATTTATCAGCATCTAACATGTTCTGTATTTTCTTGTCTGCCTTCTCCCAGCTAGAATGCACAATTCCTCAGGACAGGGATTTTTTTTATTGTTTCCTGGTTGATCTCCAGTATCCAGGACAGCGCCACAGCCCACACATGGTGCTCAGTAACTATTTCTTGAATTAATAAATTCATATACTGGCCCGGTGCCCAGCTAGGCAGTGGGGGTGTAAATAAGACCCAGCTGCCTGCCCTGAAGGGGCTCACAGTCTGAGGAGGGAGGGGAGTAAAGACAAGTAAACAATGTGCTGAGAGGTGGGGGTGGGTTATGGGTACAGAGTCTCAGTTTGGCAAGGGGAGAGTGTTCTGGAGCTCTGTTGCACAGCAGTGTGAATACATTCAACACTACTGAACTGTACACATGAAATGGTTAAGATCGTAAATTTTATGGTATGTGGTTTTTAACCACCATTAAAAATAAGAAAACATTCTCAACACAGTGTTCCTGGGGAGAAAAAAGAAGAAAAAAAATATATATATATATAAGTAAACAAGTAAGCTCGGGCAGGCCTGAGCTACTGAGCACACAGGTACTTCTAACCCAGAGCAGGACAGCAAGAGGACTTCTGGGAGAAGGTGACATCTGAGCAAAGTCCTGAGAGATTCTTAGATTTCAACATGTGAGGCTGCTCCATGCAGAAGAGGGGACAGCAGGGACAAAGGCAAGAGCACACAGAGAACCTCAGGCATTGGACAGGGCCAGGCACAGATGTAAATGAGAGGGGGTTGAGGATGGAGAAGTGGCCAAGGCCCGGAGGCTGGATGGCTCAGGCCTTACCCGGAAATCAATAGGGAGCCATTGATCGGTTTTCAGCAGGGCAATATTGTTGTGTTCAGAGTTGACAGAAAGGTGGAGGCTGGGCTGGAGGGTGCGGCTAGAGGCCAGGAGACCAGTCATGAGGCCACTGAACTGGTGGCTGCCTGAACAGGGTCAGGGCAATGGGAATGAAGGTACGTGTGGGATTCTAAGGATGTTTCCCAGATGGAATGGCCAGGTTGTAGGGACTATTGGCTAGGCTGATCTCAGCTGCTCCTTGCTCCAGTATTTAAACCCTGACCTCCAGACCCCCTGAGGAAGGGGTCAGAGCAGAGTGATGGCAGCCCTGTCCTCTTCCCTCCTTCCCAGGAGATTAGATCAGAAAGGCTTTGGGAGAGCTGGGGCCAGCCCCAGGAGAGGGACCGGGGAGGGAAAGAGGCTGCAATGGGAGCATGCTGAGAACCAGCCTCTAGGGGCCTCTGTTCTCATGCCCTCAAGGGTCAGAACTAAGTGGGGCACTTGTCAGCTTTGGAAATGCAGGAGACCCAGCTCAGCCTGGCCCTGAAACCACAATCCCCTGGGGCCAGCCATCCCTGAAATTCTGAGCTCTGAATTCCCACTTGTTCCCTCAGATGTCCTCCTGCCAGAGCCAAAGACAGAACCCTCAAGGACCCAGCCCTGGGAGTCCAACTACTGGATCCGATGGTAGAGAAGAGACCCACCGGCCACATTCTCTGTCCTCAGCGGCCCTAGGCCCACTCTGCCCTGACCTCAGAACCTTTTCTGCTCTAAGACCAACCCACAGAACCTTTTGTGTCTAATGTTTTGTCACAATATTTTTAGCCACCATCCCCTTCACAATTTTACATACCAACCTTTTTCTCCATGTTTTAACTGGATCTCCCATCAAAAAGTACCTCCCATTAAGTTTCAACTTCTAGATTCTGCCACAAACAAATCCTCAGTTTTTCTTTTCTTTTTTTTTTTTTTTCTTTGAGACAGAGTCTCAAGCTGTCGTCCTGGATAGGGTGCCGTCCTGGATAGGGTGCCGTAGCGTCACAGCTCACAGCAATCTCAAACTCTTGGGCTTAAGCAATTCTCTTGCCTCAGCCTCACAAGTAGCAGGGACTACAGGCACCCGCGACAACGCCCAGCTATTTTTTTTGTTGTGGTTGTCATCGTTGTTTGGCCAGCCCAGGCTGGATTTGAACCCACCAGCTCTGCTGTATGTGGCCCACGCCCTAGCCGCTGAGCTACAGGCGCACCCAATATCTTTATCCAAGGTAGCACAGGTGGTGACCATCTGAAGATCTCACAGCTCCAAGCCATTAAGCCTCTGCTCATGCTCATGCCTAGAATTCTCTCCCCCTTCATCTGGCTGATCCAAACTCTGGGAGAAATATTTCTAACCAAGTTTCCTGAGAGTCACCCAGCACTTCTCAAGACAATTTCCGGATTTGTAATTTACCATTATCGGAGGGCTGATATGTCCATCCCGGCATCAGCCAGTGAGAGCCAGAGGCCAGAGACCAGCTCTGGCAGGTGCACGGTGGTAGCCTCAGCTCCAGGCGAAAGTCTGCAGCAGGGCAGACGCTCCTTGACGTTCATCCACTGGGCTGATGCCTGAACCAATGATGACCAGGGTCTGCCTTCCCTCTATGTCCTTTGGACGCCTCCACATACATCACTTAGAACCAAGAAAACAGCATCCGAGCTAAAGGTCAGGAGGTCCCCGACAGCAGGAGACTCCAGGGGCCGGTGTGAGTTGCTTAGTGACCTCTGACTGGGTAGCCTGCCCAGGCATGGGGATGTGTGAGAGTTCAGGAAGACCCCAGCTCCACCACGTACTCAAGGAAATACGGATTAAAACCCCCGTCTCCCATGGGGTTCCCAAGACATAATTAGCCAAGCCCTGGCATACTAGGGCCACCAACAAATGAGCGGCCCCCAATCCCTCATCCCCATCTATCCACCCTCACAGCCCCACCAGCCAGTTGCCTGGACCCGCAGCTCTTACTGCAACCCTCTCAAATCCCGCCACCTGAAGGATCCTGGCCTGGGGGGACGCCCATTCCGTGGCCAAAGAACCCGAGAGGAGGAGAGTTTAGTTATTCAGGAACACCTGGAGGAAAGGGCGCTGAGGAGAGGCAGGGTCGGGGGATTCCGAGCTCCTCTGTCCCCTCTGCCCCCGACCCCCAATTCACGGTGCCACCTCCGGTGAGAGGGTTCCCGGAGTCCGCACCTCCCAGTTCCCGCCCCCGTCTCTCTGGGCGCCGCGCGGCCCTCCCGGTGGCGTTTCCTGCCCCCACCCCGCCCCGCAGCGCTATTTAAGGCGCCCCTGCCCGGGCGCTGTCAGGTCCAGCCGCGCTCGGGCGGGCGCTGCTCCGGCAACGTCCCCACCTGCACCTGCGTCGCCGGGCAGGCACCCGGTGAGTTGGGGAGGAGGCAGGGGCGCCACCTGCCAGCGGGAGGTGGGACCAGAACGCGGGTGCCACCGCAGTGGGGACTGAGGGTTGCTGCGGGACAAGGAACGCCTGCCGCTCTCCCGGATTGCCTTTGGCCAGGCTCTGTGCTAAGTCGGGCTCTTGCCGTCTTCTCCTTGGATCCTTAGAGCGCCGTGGGAGGCGGAAATACTATTGTTTGCACTTGACCAGAGAGGAGACTGAAGAACTCCAAAGATTGTTCTTACCCCAGGCCCCAGTTAGTAAGGCAGAGCTAAGATTTGAACCCAGGGAGGCTCCGGAGCTTAGCTGTGGACAGCCTGGTTGGCGCTTGGGAAAAGGAACCTCCCCGACCTTCACCCCTTCCCCTACCCTCCTTCTCCCCCATGGTTTGGGAATCTGTGGCCTGTGCTTCCTCTGCCCTGCAATGACGATTCCTCTCAAGAGCCTAGAATTTGGCAGCAACAGCTTTGGAGAGGAAGGGTGAGGGTGGAGGCAGAGGACAGGATCATGTGTAGCTACTTAGGTTGTTCCTTATTGCTGACAGGTGGAGCTAAGGGGCGATGCTGCCTTCAGCTTCTAAAATCCCCTCACTGCAAGCTCCAAGGTTACAGTGAGGCCAGCGGGTGAGATATAGGGATGGGGGCAGGGACTTGAGACTTTGAGTGTGTAAGAACCTGCTGATAACACCTCTGCCACCACCATCCCCCACTGTCTGGAGGTCCCCAGCCTGGAGTTAAAGGGAGGAGGGGCAGCACACCTGGGCTCCCTTGGATAAGTCCCTCAAATTCTCTGCTGGGAGTCCCATAGGCAAAGGATCCTCAACTTGATCCACATCTCCTTGGGCTGTGGCCATCTGGGGCTCTCGTTAAGGTCAAGAAGGACATAGACATGATTAGGCAGGGACCCCAACCATACCCAGGCCATTCAGAGAAGCAAATGGAGGCCATGAAAAGAGCATGGCAGCCATCCCACAAAGATCCATCTTGGGTCCCACTAGCCCCTTCCTGGGTCTGGGGGTCCTTGGAGGTAGAGTGGGCAGCCCTCCTGCAGGCTTGCTGCCAGGGCCACTGAGGAGGATGCTGTGCTGACATACTGAACCTCTGTCTCCTTGCAGACGGAGTCCCGGAGCCATGGGTGACTGGGGCTTCCTCGAGAAGCTGCTGGACCAGGTCCAGGAGCACTCCACTGTGGTGGGCAAGATCTGGCTGACAGTGCTCTTCATCTTCCGCATCCTCATTCTCGGCCTGGCCGGCGAGTCAGTGTGGGGTGACGAGCAGTCGGATTTCGAGTGTAACACGGCCCAGCCGGGCTGCACCAATGTCTGCTATGACCAGGCCTTCCCCATCTCCCACATCCGCTACTGGGTGCTGCAGTTCCTCTTCGTCAGCACCCCCACCCTGGTCTACCTGGGCCATGTTATCTACCTGTCTCGGAGGGAGGAACGGCTGCGGCAGAAGGAGGGGGAGCTACGGGCACTGCCAGCCAAGGACCCACAGGTGGAGCGGGCACTGATGACCATTGAGCGTCAGATGGCCAAGATCTCAGTGGCAGAGGATGGTCGCCTGCGGATCCGTGGAGCACTGATGGGCACTTATGTGGCCAGTGTGCTCTGCAAAAGCGTGCTAGAGGCAGGCTTCCTCTATGGCCAGTGGCGCCTCTACGGCTGGACCATGGAGCCTGTGTTTGTGTGCCAGCGAGCACCCTGTCCCTACCTCGTAGACTGCTTTGTCTCTCGCCCCACGGAGAAGACCATCTTCATCATCTTCATGCTTGTGGTTGGACTCATCTCCCTGGTGCTGAACCTACTGGAGCTGGTGCACCTGCTGTGTCGATGCCTCAGCAGGGGGATGAAGGCCCGGCCAGGCCAGGATGCCCCTCCAGCCCAGGGTACCTCCGCAGACCCTTACACGGACCAGGTCTTCTTCTACCTCCCCATGAGCCAGGGGCCCTCATCCCCATCATGCCCCACCTATAACGGGCTCTCATCCAGTGAGCAGAACTGGGCCAACCTGACCACAGAGGAGAGGCTGGCTTCTTCCAGGCACCCCCTCTTCCTGGACCCACCTCCCCAAGGGGGCCGGAAATCCCCTAGTCGCCCCAGCAGCTCTGCTTCCAAGAAGCAGTATGTGTAGCTCCTGGGGCTTAGGTCACCCAACAAGAAGGGTCCTCAGAAGTCTGGCTGCCTGGGTGCCCTTCCTTGAAGGCTCTGCAGTGGTGACTAGACTGGGGAAGCAGATGCTTGCTGACCAGGGGACCTCATTGCAGGTTGTTCTTGAACACCTGGGGCCTCCCTGGTGACAAGAAGGCACTATGACTTCTGTCCAGATGTGGCTTTGTCCCAGGCACAGAGCGAGCCAGCTCTGGGTGTTCTTGGCCAAGGTTGTTGTGGGCCTTCTAGCCTTTTTCACCTGACTGAGAGGGACCCAGAGCCAACTCACCCCAACCCCACCCTCATGGAAGATCAGCCTGTCCAGGCTGTCCTCACAGGGATCGGGGCTGCTGGGTCGACCTTGGTCCTGCAGGCGGAGTCTGTGTTGGATCTCACCTGTCGGGGACTGCTGCTTCGTCTTCCTCACTCCTTCCAGGTGCCACTGTTTATGCTCCTGAAATAAACAGGACTTGATCACAAGCAAGGTGTGTGTTGATGCTGTCATGGTGTGCTTCAGGGTGGGGCACAGGTGGAAAGCTATTTTGACCAGGCTTTCTTTTCTTTGTGTCATATAATCTGTCTTTGGTCTCTGCAACCCCAGCTCCAGCCAACACCTTAAACCCTCTAACTTACACCTTCTGCCTTCAACAGCCCTGAGTCCTAAGTGTTCTGCCTTTTGAAATGCCTTGGGTACCATACTCTTCTTTTCATCCCCACTTCCCTGGCACATCAATCAGTGGCCAAGCCGCATTCTTGCCCTGCCTGCCCCTTGCCCCTCTGGTGCCCTGGCTGCTCCACCCCCAACAATGTGCTTCTTTGCTGGACAGTTTGCTCTCCAAGCAAGCCTGCCAGCTGAGCCCATCACAGTCCAACTCATATGGGCCCCACATTCCCACCTCATCCTGGCCCCCTTGGTATTTCAGAAGGGAGGCTTCGGTCATTTGTCCTTTCTACCTTGACCCTTTCTAGTCTGCCCACCAGAAAGAGTGACTGAAGGATCTATATCAATGGTTCTTAACCATCCTAATGCCGCGATGTATTTTCATTATTACAAAGGGGTCATGGCCCACAGGTTGAGAACTGCTGATCTACATCATCTCCACTCCATGCACCCAGAACTCAGAACATACAACAGTGTACAGAAGTGGAAGTGGCTGAATCCTGCCAATGCCTTGCAAAGGCTGTGGGGGGAAATGAACAGCTGCGTTGGGGGTCAGTGAGAAGGGAAAAAACCCTGAGATTCAAGAAGAAACTGCTCATCCAGAGGCCAAGAGGCAGGGAATGGCTGAGGCTTGAGGGGCTGCTTGTGGCCTGATGAGCCCCCTAGAATGCATTAGCTATGGCTGAGGACCAACCCACTGTTGGCCAAACTGACTTCACATAGAAGATAACACAGGTAAGGAAGGCCCTTAGGTAGTGACCCTCATGATCAAGATGGTCATCCTCCCTACCCAGGGATAGCTGGGGCTGGAGTGGGGAAGGAGTCCATCTCCTGTGGCCACATGCTTCTCTTGAGAGCCATGATGCCTTTATCATAAGTTGGCAATGTGGCCCCTTTCCCATCTGGATAAGTGTCTAAAATGCCAGTCTGCACCCCAGGGCTAACTCACTACTCACCCATCAAGTCCGAATGCCCAGCCTATAAGTTGTGGCCTCTTCCAGCTGTGGCTCCCATTGTTCCTCCGAATCCCTGGGGTCCAATCATACCAGCCTCCTTGTGGCTCCCAAACTCAGCTAGTGTGACAAACTCCGACCCTGCTCCTTTGTCAGCCTGAAGTGCCTCTTCCCCCACACTCCCAAACCCCACAACCCTGGAAAAGGCACAGCCTTGGTGCAGAAGAAAAGGTAAAATGAGCTTGTGGCATCAGAGGGTCCTGAATTTAAATGCTGCCTCCAACATGTTCAAGCCATGCCACCTGGAGTCAATCGTTTCACTTCCCTGAGTCTCAGTTTTCTCATCTGTACAATGCAAACTGCCTCACGTGAAACAAGAAATATATTTTTTTTTTTATTGAATGGTAATTGTGTACATTGATGCACTTTGGGGGTACAGTGTGGTGTTTTCATACATAATCCAAGACACTTCCAGTGAAACAAGAAATATTATAGGAGAGTAGATGACTGTGCCTCATTCATCAGAGTCATGCTTTCCAACAAGGCTGATATACATCCTTCCTCTTCCAGGAAGCCCTCCTTGACTTCTGCAGCTAGTGTCCAGTGATGTCCTGTGTCTCTGGGAGATCTGGACCCCTGCTTAGTAGATGACTATGTCAGCATCTCTAAGCATCACCAGGAAGACACCTATTCACAGTGGGCCTAGCCCAGCATTCATTCACTTTGGCTGTGAAATGAGAGATTGAGTTAGACAGGGATTGAGTTAGGGCAGAAAGGAGGCTGTCCACATGGTGCAAGGGTATGATGCCAGGAAGTTGAGGTCTTCTTCTAAGAGATTCTCCCCTACCTGGTGGAGGCCAGAGGCTGTAGGTTAGAGGTTAGACTTAGAGTCAGCCCTACCTGAAGGCCCCGGGAGCCTATTACATGGGCTTCCCCCCACGTGTATCTATCCTGGCTTAGAAAGGTAGAAAGAAGAAAAGTTTAGGCAAGTGGAGAGGGCATCCTTCCCCTCCCTTAAAGCTCACCTGCTCTGAGCTTGGTGTTGGGGATGGGGTCTGGACAGGGCTCAGAGGCTTGTGGGCTTTCGGCAAGAGTGGGGTTGGGTCCTAAACTGGTGGCCACACAAACACAAGGGCAAATGGGTTGGGGTTAAGAGTGAGGAAGGCGGAGCAGGACACCTTACAGTTTGGGGTGAGGCGTAGTGAGGACTTATGCAGTGGAGAGGGGCTCCAACTCTACCCTGCCCGTGCTAGTTGGCTAGGGCTGAATAACAGAGTAGCACCAACTGGATGGCTTAACCCACTGGAAAAAAAAATTTTTTTTGAGACAGTGTCTCACTATGCCATCCTTGGCAGAGTACCATAGTAGCACAGCTCACAGCAACCTCCAACTCTTGGGCTTAAGTGATTCTCTTGCCTCAGCCTCCCAAGTAGCTGGGAGTACAGGCACCTGCCAGAACACCCGGCTATTTTTTTGTTGTAGTTGTCATTGTTGTTTAGCAGGCCCGGGGCCAGGTTCAAACCCACCAGCCCCTAGTGTATGTGGCCAGCACCCTAACCACTGAGCACAGGCATCAAGCGAGCCCACAGAAATTTATTCTCAGAGTTCTGGAGGCTGTAAGTCTGAGATGAGAAGCCTGAGGTGCTGGTTCCCTCTGAGGCTGTGAGGGAGACAGCTGCTGGTGACTCTCTGGCAATCTTTGGCATTTCTTGGCCTTTGGACACATCGCCCTCATCTCTGCCTTCATCATCGCCCGGCACTCTCCTTTTGTGCATGTCTGTGTCCAAATTTCCCCTTTGTATAAGGACAGCAGCCAAAATGGATGAGGACTCACCCTAATGACTTCAGTTGAACTTGAAGACCTCTACAAAATCCCTATTTTTAAATAAGGTCGCCTTCTAAGGTGTTGGGGGTTAAGACTTCAATATTCTTGAGGGAGGGGCACAATTCAGCCCATATCTCCACTCCACTGGCTCCAGCTCACCTCCAAGCACGGGCCAGGGAGGCTGAGGAAAATGTACATGTTGGCCAATGCAGCCATGGTGGAACGTGGACGGGTTCACATCTTTCTTCTTCCTTTTCTTCCTTCTTCCCCCCACCAACCTATCCCTCACTGCCACCAAAATCTAAGTTGACAACCAGCAGCACTCAGTCACAGAAAGAGCCATAGTCTGGTGTTGAGAGACTGGGCTCCTCCCACCTCTCTGACTCACTGGTTCTTTTCCTTCCTCAGGCCTCAGTTTCCCCACTGTACAATGAAAGGTTTGGATGGAAACAGATATGCAACAATGAAGTATGAAAAGTGCTGCGTGGGGTACCTTGTCACTAATCATTGATCTAAAGATTATGAGTGATGTGACATTTTTCGTGCGTCAGAACAGATTCAAGGTTATTTTTATAATGAGATCAATTCCAGTCTCTTGAATTCACAAGACCTTTCTGAGTGAGAAAGAAAGGGCTGGGGTTATGTGGAGTGCACTGGGAATTTTGCATAACCCAAGGTCATCTTATCTGTGACCCATGGGAGCATGTGAACACCATGGGCCACACATAAACCAAGCAGAGAGCTGTCAGGCTGTTGATGTCAGAACTGCTCCCCAACCTACCATGCTGGCTCGCTGGCCTCTGGGCTGCTGACCTCATGCTGACCACCAGGACCTTGAGTGGGGGGAGGTGGTCCCTTATTTCCTTCTCACACTAACCTCAGCCTGACCATTGATGTTGGCAGGAAGAAGTATCCATCACGGGATTTATCTGAACCTCTTTCTTCACCTTTAAACTTCATCCAGCAGCATTATGGCCTTGGCCCTGACCCCACGAGCCACAGGACGCTCAGCTGTTCGTCCTTCCTATACCTATACAGCACTGCAGCCACATACAGATTGCCACCAGGCCTATCCTGGTCCTGCTCTCCTCCCATTCTTCTGGATGACCTGGATTTCTAGAAATCTCTGGCCGACCTGCAGTTGGTTTATTTTCTTCTTAACATGCTCCCCTCGCCCATGAGCGCTGAACATGACACCCCAAGCAATCAGAATCCAGCTCATCTCCTCTGTTGCCCTGAAACTTCTGCCTCTACTAATGCAACCTATCACTCCATTAACTTTTCTCTTTTTCACATACAGAATAATTTTTTAATTATAAAGATATTATGTGATCACTGTAGACAATGGGATCTTACCATTTAGGGGTAATAACTGTTCATATTCAGAAATAATTCCTTCCGGCCTTCTTCCATGCACATTTTTAAATAAAATCAGAGTAAAGGTATACCTCTAACTCTATATTATGCTTTTTGGATTTTGTTAAATCGTAAGTCTTTTCCTGTGTTGTTACATAAGTATCTTTGGAAACACCACTTAATGGCTTTGTCCTATAGCTTTTATGATTAGCTACTTAACTATGATCCTGACATTGGATTTTTAGGATATTTGCAACTAACTATCCTCTATTATAAATTGCACTGTGATGTAGACACCCATACAATGTTTTCCAAATTTCCATTTCCCTAAAAGAAAGATATTCCAAGAAGTGAAATTACTGGGTCCAAAGGAAATTTTACATAAAGAAAACTTAGGGGCTTTCTTCTGATTGTGAAAGTAATTCGCTGGAGATGATTCAGGAACACAGAAAAGCACATGCAAATTACAAGAAGTGAAAACACCGACTACCTCCAAGCAGGAGTGGAGGTGGCACTACAACAGGAGGGCTGACTGGAAGCAGTCAGCTAGTCAGTGGGCCCCAACATTCTTGGCACCAGGGATCAGTTCATGGAAGACCATTTTTCTATGGTTGGGGCTGGTGGGGCTGGGAAGTGGGGATGGGATCTGATGGGAGGTGGAGCTCAGGTGGTAATTAAT